GGAATATATTTAGTGGCATTGACGTATGATATTTCTGCTAATTAAAAATTAACTTAAATGTGGTTATGTTGCCAAAGTTTTTCATGTAAACCATTAGTCTTTCTCTGCTGCAATCTAGAATTTTATATAGAAATAAAATATTTTACTCGTACTTGTTAATAAAGTTGTTATTGATAAAGTTACTAAATCTCACACAAAATAAAACTTCATTGAATAAATTTATTTTTTAAATGATGAATCCTCCAAAAAAAACGGGGTAACCACAATGTGAAAAATGTGGCAAGTAGTTTAGCTAAGAGAATAAATATGTAGTTAGTTTGGGCTACATCTAGGCGATATCGTGAAGCACCGATGTATTTTTTTAAAAATATCATGTAACGATATTTTGAATAGTATTTAATATTCTTACAAGATCGATAATGATACTAACAATGTCTGATACTGAAAACGATAAATCTGGAATACGATAATATGGCTAGTATTATCGATAAGGATAATCACTGAAGCGATATTATCGTGAGAGTTTATAAATTTGATTTCGGTGACGGTGATTTTATAAAACTGAAAAATAACTTTATTTTTTTTTTTCAATTGGAAGAAAATTGTGATACTGTGTGATATTGATATTATCTGGGATATTAAAATTCGGTATCTCCCAGCAGTATTTTGGGCTGTTAAGAGTACGAAATGTTTAGATTTTTATTTCTTTTATTTTGCCATATTTCTACAACTGATAACGCGAAATCAAATTTCTTAAATGCATTTATGAAACTCACTTCTCCAAAGATAATTTCATGAAAACAATAAAAGTTACTGATTTATTATTTCAATTTATCAACGTCAGAAAATTAAAACAAAAATACAAGCGAGGATTGTTCAGATAGTTACAGAGATTAGAAAATTTCAGCAAATAAGTATACATTCGTACTTAGAATTCATTAAAGAAACCTTTCAAAGTAAGCTTATTAAACTGGGTAACAAATTTTTTGTTGCATTTCTACAAATGCTTGATCTTGCCTAATGCGGGTGTGGGAATTTCAAATCTGAATTTAGTTTCTCTCCTACAAATTTTCTCACAATGACATTTTCAGTTTATTTTTTGTCGAAAGGTACAAGTTGAAAACGTTTTATGTAGCAAGGTGTTGCGTAAATGTTGGTACAATTAAATTTCTAACGGAGTTAGGGGACATCATCAAGATAAAAATTGCATAAGAATACATGCCCGGAAATGTCATCGTAAGTGGCTAGGGGCGCTTCTCTATTATGACCTGTTCAGAAGCACACGAAGAAATAGTTCATAATAGGGAAGTACCCTTAGTGGCGTAAGACGATATTTCCGGGCATGGGTTTCTATGCAATTTTAATCCGGTTGATGTTTCTTAAGTTTGCCGCAACAGTTTTCTTAAGTTTGTTGAAGTTTGCCGTAACATTTCTGGTGACAACCTGTCATATATAATAAATTAAAAATGCCATATGTAATAAATTAAAACGACAAAGAATAAATTAAAAATGTCACTTAAAAAGTTGCTTGATGAGAAAAATCGATTGCTAATTAGAAATCAATGATACGAAAGATCTGTTAGAAAATTTCATGAGAAAGGAAACAGAATAGCTCTCTAGTGTTTTCAATGTGAATTAAACCTATGATTTATTCACCGCTTGCTATTTATTTTATCACAGTGCTGTGGCGGAGCACATTTCGTGAAGGGGTGATATGGAGAATGATCATTTTGTGTAGTTCTAAGGCAGGGATGGGCAAACTACGGCCAGCGGGCCAACTGTGGTCAGCCAGAAGGTTTTATCCGGCCCTCGAATAGAATTTTAACTTGCCGATCCGTGGCGATTTATGGAAATAGCTAGCACAGACAGTTTCAATTGGTAAAATTTTGAAAGCAGTTCTTTGTAGAATAGCCGTAGATTGGCGCCAATGAGCGTTTGTCTTTCTCGAGGAACAGACATACGGAATCTAATATAGGTGAATTGTACTTCACGTGTGGCAGACTGCGCATTTTAAGCTCCAACATGCGGATTTTTCTGCCGGCACGAGTTCTAACATAATTTATTGCGTATGAAAAGATTGCACACATATAACGTTATTGTAAATAGCGGTGAAATTACAAATGTATAAAATAGCTACTGCTTGGTCTAGTTATTTGTAAATTTTTTTTACCCCAAAATGGGTACTAAAAAGCGCAAAGTTGATTCATAGTACCGTTCGTTTAATGAGGAATGGACTTGGAAATATTTTTTACTGTTGTAAAAGATAAAGCAGTATGTTTTCTCTGCAATGAAGCTGTAGCAGTTTTTAAAAAATACGACATCAACCGACATTTTACTGCCAAGCACAGGAATGCCAACAACGAAGCAATGCCTGAATGTGAAAGAAGACAAAATGCAGAATGTCTTCTGAAAGAATTAATCAGGCAGACAAAATTTTTTCAAGAAGATGAACAGTGTAACAGATAAACATCTAATTAAATATTTAAATTAAAACTTGTGTATGACTTTTTTTATTGCAGAAGTTTTTACTTGGTCCACCAAACCTTTTTTCTTCGATTTTTTGCCCTCCACGAAAAAAAGTTTGCCCATCCCTGTTCTAAGGCATGCATTAATGTAGAAAAGAAAATGATAGCTCATTATCTTTATTTTCAATTTACCCCTATTTCGAGGAAATTGAAGACCTTGCTTCTACTCGAGAATTGCTTCTACCCAAGTCAAAAGTTTTGATGGTTTTCCATTGATGGACCAACATAAGCTTGATGGAAACCATCAATAATTCCATCATGAACCATTATATTATTTGATGGTAACCAACACAAGTAACCATCACCTCAATGTAGGAATTCAGACTGATTTATGATGGTCCAACATAAGAATAGCAACTTGTTTTGATGGTTTGTTTAGTTGAACCATCAGGAATTTCCATTAAACCATCATGGAAATGTATAGTTGGAACCATGTGTATGGAAATGTATAGCTGGAACGGATGATCATGGATTGTTGGTGCATGAGAGTCAAACTGCTCATGATGATTAACCATCATAGTATTAAAGTAGCATTTTCCATCAAGGAATGATGGAAATTTATTGACATATGAAAAACTATGAACAAGTAATGGAAAATGCTGGATGATGGTGACCATCAAATGATGTTGGACCATCATGAATCGAACTGAAACCAAGATAAACCATCAAAATGTTTTGATGGGATCATCAAGAATTTTGACACGGGCTGAGGAATGTTCAACTGAGTGGGGTTTTGGATATGAAAATATATACAGTATGGACAACCACCATCGAAGAATTGCTGCTCCATATCACATGCATGATTAGAGCACTGAATCCTATCGATTCCAGGAATATATTTAGTGGCATTGACGTATGTGTTAACAGACAAATCAAAAACGAAAGATAAACTCATATTTAGCTGGTTATAGTGGGGAATACCAATCCTATTTAGCCTGAAGAATTTCCCAACGTTTTAACCTATAATTATGTAAATGAACAGAAAAAAAGTAGTGAAGATAGTCACATATTTTTACCCGATTACCTCATATAAACCCAAATTCATAAATTTTGACTTCATGATTAGTTCAGTAGATGTGCCACATTAGATTTGATTTCAAATAAAAATCCTCTGAATTGATGTTTTTATAAAGTTCTATAATCTTAATCGTTAAAAATTATAATACTAGTTTCTGTTCGGAGTAATCTTCTTTTAGTGGACTGCCAATAGCGAAACTTTCATCAAAAATGTTTTTAAATTCCTCATTCATATATTTTCTCTATCATTTTTATTTATTTCCCCCCCCCCCATATTCAGAAATCGAAGACATTTCTCTTCTTTTTAATCACTACTATCTTTGGCCGTAGTTAAAAAAATCAGCATATTTAAAAAATTCATCCAAATCTTTTTCTTTTTAAGTACTGCTTTATTTGATCAAAGTTGAATTTTTTCCGATTTTAGAAAATGCGTGCACAGATTTTTCTTTTAGAGTACTGCTGTCGGTGGTTGAAGTTAAATGTTCGACAAATTTAGAAACTGCGCATAGAGATTCTTTTTTCAGAGTACTGCTATCTTAGTTAAATTTTCGCCCATTGTTTTTCCTTTTAATTTAATGCTACCTTTGGTCGAAGTTAGAATTTTTTTTTTTTACCAGATTTAAAAAATGCAACCAAATCTTTTTCTTTTACAATACTTTTATCTTTGATCGAAGTTGAATTCTTATTAATTTTACAAATTGCGAACAGGGATTTTTCTTCAAGAGTACTGCAGTAAGTGGTTGGAAGTTAAATTTTTGCCAAATTAAGAAACTGTGAGTAGAGGTTCTTTTCTCAGATTCTGATATCTTTGATCGAAGTTGGACTTTTTGAAATATCTTTCTGTTTCATTCTTAACCTGAGTAGATTATAACCAAGTCTTTCTTTTTTTGACAACATGTTTGGAAAGTTGAGGAGTCGATGTAGAAGATCTCAGCATTTTCGATTCACAGTCATCTCCGCTACTCAGGTAGAGAAAATCATCTTCTTTGTTCAAATTCATTTTGCCTTCAGTCTTTAAATTGCTGTTGACAACGTTAACAGATATTCTGAAACTTTCAGAAGGGAACAACATGTTTTGTTCATACTCTTCAGAATTTTTATCTCGAATTTTCTTTGAAAATGTCATAATACATTCCTCTTTGTCATCTAGAGGGTTATCTTGTCTTGCTTTCGTACCCTTCCTCTGTTTCGAAGCAGTATTTTCTCTGTAACTGTAACCATTGGGATTATTTGAAACTAGGTTGCCATTATGCTTTTGTTTAGTGCTATTAGCTTTCTTCGTGCCTTCTGAATTTGTTTCTTTGAATTCAGATTTGCCAATGCTTTTAATTTGATTTCTTTCATTTCTCTGTAAATGGTGGATATTGCCAACACTGCTTGGATTACTATTTGCTTTGCAAAGAGAATTATTTACATTGTTTTTACTACTATTTGCACTGCTTTGACTATTTATACTAGAATGGATTAGGCTTTGGCAAACAAGATCGTATTCTGAGTTTGAGTGTTCAGTTTCTAGAAGTTTTGAAGTTTTTTCACGAACTTTCTGTTCACGAGTACTTAGTTTCTCAGAATTCTCTTCACTCTGTAGCATTCGGGGACATTTTTCACTTTCCAAATTAATGCCGTCGAGTTCTGTGTACTCCGTTTCTGACGCTCTACGTCGACAAAGAGTAAAAGATACTGGTATATTCGACAGAGATCGAATTCGACTAATGTGCTTCATTTGAGGAATATCATATAAGACTTGGCTATTGATGCTTTGTTGATTCATTGATGAATTTTGATTACAATCACTACCACAACTGCTTCGTTGTGTTTTTAACGATTTCAATGGATAATTTTTTATTTCATGATCACATTCGAGAAATTTATGTTTACATTCGCTGTTTGCATTTTTTCTGTTAGTGACGTTTTCTTTTTCCAAATTTACAGGCGAATTACTTAGATGATAGTGATCATATACTTTTAAACAACTTTGGTTACAGCGATTCCTAACATTGTTATCTTGATGGTTCTGAATATTGTTTTTCGCACATTTACGAATACGATTTATATGCTTTATTTGAGAAATATTATTTAGCGATAATAATTTTGGTTTAAAGCCATTTATAGGTGAAGATGATACAGATACTTTATTGCTAATTGATTTAGAAGTAGCCATTTAATTTTGAGAATATGGAGCGTTGAAATGTAACAAAAATATATTTTTTAACCACTAATATCCTTTCTGTATAGCATAAATGATCTAAATTAGACTTTTTATTTCCAGTTTTATAAAGCAACTATTCGAGTTGTATGAATAAAGTATTAGACTTTTATGATTATGGTAAAAGCTGACTTACTAAATTAAAAGCTAAGCTGATATTTTATCTGCTGGTTATAAAAATGGAAAATTTGAAGCTGTACAATCTGTTTTCTGTTTACGATTAGTTTAAGTTCCTTCAAAAGTAATAGTTTTTCCAAATTAATTTGCCTATGCTAACCTATTAATTATTCAAGCAAAAGGTAGCAACATTTCAAAATAAACAAATCAGTAGAGATGTCTAAGCAGACGTCACATCATTTACCAAACCACTGGAAATCCATCAATGATCAAACAGTTACAGATTCAACCAATAGAAATACGTTTCTATTGGGATAGCAATAAGAATCGTCCAAAAGGAATAGTGCAGAAAGAAATTGATTGAATGATAGCGGAACACTGATCGAGTTCCGCTTCTGACCTATACTTCTTTATTAGCTTTCCCCAAAGTATGAGTTTCTTAGAGCATTTATTAAATAAATGTTAAATTAGGGGAATTGATTTCATTTAAAGGTTTTAATTTTTCGCTTTAAAAAAAATTCTTTTTTTTTTTAATTTTACATTTTTAGACTTTCGTATTTCTTATATTGTCATTAAAATTTTTGTGTAATTCTTTGCACCACATGATTTATTGGAAACTGGTTTAATATTAAAACAAGGGGGATATATTTTCAAGCAAATCCAGATTATATATAGTGTTAATGTAAAGGTAGATAGACAAAGAAATTTTTTTTTTCAGCGTTTGCAACTGTACCAGTTTCAGAAGCATGCAACACGGTTTACATTCGACTTAATTACAATTAATATGTAGCATATCGTTCTCGAAAATACCCATATATGTCTAGAAATATTTTTCGAACATTTTTGAAAAAACTTATTATTAGCGCAAATCGCTTGAAGGCCAAAGCGTTCACAAGAAATAACATAAGAATGAACATTTCGCAAAATTTGTGAAATTTTTTCCAACTCTAGATAAATTTGAAACCAGTAGTTTCATGTTAAAAATGTGCATTTAGCTGTTTCAATACTGTTAAATACTTTAATTGCTTAATAACACCACTTTGTGATAAGATCAGTATTTAAACGATAAAAACTGGTATGAATAATTTGTTTCATCTTATAACCGTCGATGAACAGCCGACCCAATTTTGAGTGTACGACTACCAATATTCAACTCTATAGTCTTATAATTTTGAACCCAACCCAGAACACAAGAGAACTCACGGGAGAAATTTGTCTTTGCTGTTTGCTTTTGATTTAACTAACTTTTATTTGCGTTGCATAAAGCAAAAAATCATGAAAACCTCTCACGGACAGCTCGACGGCAAGGGAACTCTAACTCATGATCCGTCTACCACGGAAGATATTTTACGGCAGCACTGTGGTCGGTGTGAGCTGGGTGTCGAATTCGTATTGACCGGTCATCGCTGGGATTTGAACCCGGTTCACCTCATTGGGAGAAGTACACTCTATCGCCTGAGCCATCCAAATTAGCCGAAATTCCGTTAAAGATGGAATCATTAATTTGTCAAGCCAAAGTTAAGTCCTACAATAGATAGTATGTGAAAGCCAGTCATTGATAATCTTTTAGGCATTACGTGAAATCCAGTTATTGGACCAAAAGTTATTATTAAGTTATTCGTTTTTTCTTCTTCTTTTTTTGTGTGTTTTGCCCACTGTGCATTTTATTACGTTCATTTGAAGAAATTTAAAAATATATATAATGATTGGTGGCCAACATTTTTTTAAATAGACCAATTCTGATAAATTTTTATATAACAATGTAACTGAAAGAGGTATTGGAAATCTCGCAGAAAGGAAATATTTAATAGATATATCATAATAAACAGTTCAATCAATATTTTATTAGAAAATAGAAGACATAGTTGTCATTAATCAAGAATTAAGCAAAAATCCATCACTATTTTTATCACTCAACTTCAAAACTGTTGCTTTTCAGCGAATATAAAATACGTCTTCCTACCAAATGTCATCTTTTAAAGGGACTCAAAATAATGTCGTAATTTATTTTTCAAGGTCTAAATTTCCCCAGAACGTTTCTCATCGAAGTTCGAACGTTTACACAATAAGCGGTTTCTTGACTAGTTCTTTTTATGGAGCTGCTATATACAATGACTGACAAGTTTAAGCATTGTTTATGGTTATTCTTTTCGTCATTTTCTCACAAGACAATTTTTAGGAAAAATAAAATAGTGAATCGTATTTAGTTGCAAAAGTAAAAATGTCGACAAAATGCGTGATAGTAAGTAAGTAAAAGGGAATTTTCTTTTTAATAAACTTAAATGATTATTATATGATAAAAAAATTAAACATTAAAATGCATTAGTTAAGTTTGTGGGACAAAATTCTGCCATTTTCGTGCCTGTATATTTTGTGATTAGATACTTATATTGTCTTTCAACTCTAAAAAAATTATAAACTTAGTGAATTGAAAAAATTATATGAGTCAAAAATATAAATAAAAATATTTTACGTGTGGATTAGAGTATATTTGCTACCTTTAATGTATAAAACACTGGCATCCTATTGGATACCTGATATTTATTGCAAAGTATAAAATGTAAAAATTATTCTTCCCTTTGCCTAGGTGGTGTATATGTTACCGGCAAAGTTTGAAATGCCGGCATTGTATAGAATGCCTAAAACTAGCCGGCAATGTTCAAAGCGATTTATATTTCACACATTTCCGAGGCATTCCTTAGAATGCCAAATGAGAAACAGGCAAAATATAAAATCTTCTGTGGCCATGTAAGTAAAGGTGATGAAATGGATATTTTCTGCAATATTTGTTTCTAAACTGAATGTGAAGAAAGACATAAATTATGCTTTGTACAATTTTCATTTTTCCTTACGCATTTTGAATAAATTGTTTTTAATGGCACTCTCATTATTTTTTCGGAATAACATTTTTATTTTTGAGAAATGAACATTATTTACATAATAACCTCATCAGTATGTTTTTTTTCATACTTTGAATAAATAGCATTTGTCATTCTATAGAATGCCTAGGTATTTTACACAATGCCTAGGGAAAGTATGTAATACTTCTGACATTTCATGCTTTGCCTAAAAACATCCGGTATTATATACAATGCCTAGGCATTCTACACATTGCAGGCGTTTCATACTGTGTCGGTAACATATACAATATATCGGCAATTTATAGAAGGACAAATGCGTACCTGCTAACTTTGATTTTATCCGAGGGTATTTTTTCTCCAATTGGTATGGACGTAACAATTGAGTTGCAATTCTAAGCAAAAATATTTTAATTTTTATTTTTCCAGAGCGCGCACACCATTGTATCAAAGCAATGTATTTCTCTACATTGTTAATTTATAAATCCAAGAATAAATCCAAGTTTATTTGTAAATCCAAGAATTAAATAGAAAAAGCATTTTTCAGCCACTTTAAATATAAAAATAAAATCTTATTCAAATTTTGCAAAAATTGGTTAACTGAGCAAATGCCTTTTATTCTTATTAATGCAAAGTATGAAATAAAGGCATTATATTGATGACGAATGCTTTTGCAGACAAAGTAGGAATAAAAGGTCATTATAAGGCTATTACCAACAGATGTTCATTACTAAAAAATTGAAACGTTGCTGTTCAAAAATGATAAAAACTTGCTGTCAATGAGGCCTATTATAAATGTCACTGGCAATGTATAAAAGTTCGGCACTCTGTTAAGGCCAAAACCCGAAGTCCGGCCACTTCGCGAATTGGCCGGCATTTCGCACTTTGGCCATACCTCTCGGCCAAAGTGCGATGTAATTGAAACGATCAGTGAATATTCTACTTTAGCCGGCCATTTCGCGAAGTGGCCACGATGTTCCGGCCAAAACGCGATGTGCTCATTCAAGAATGCCGGAATGATTTATAATTCATTTCTTAATTAAAGGAAAAGAGGTAAATTTTTTATGTTGACCATTTTACTACTTTTTTAATATCTCTTGTATTTCTAACAACTTTTACTTTACAGAAAAAAAAATTGTAGTGGTATGTTTTTTCACATACCGGGTGGTACGGTGGGATCACAATTTTTTAATATTTGTTTTATTAAAAAGCAATTTGCTAATATTGCCCCTTTTGTTTTCTTTCTTAATTTAAAAATATAAATCTTCTAATTTAAAAATATTAAAAAATAGACAAGTTTTTAAATTAAGACTCAAAAATTTTAATTTTAATTTAATTTAATTTTAAATTTTAAAGAATGAAGTTATGGTTATACAGAGCCAATAATACGTGTCAATGATTTTTTCTTCCAACTTTGGTTGATCCTCCCATGCCCCATCGCGATCTGGCCGGCCAACTCCCGAAATCCAGAAAATATAGGACATTGGCCAGCCATCTTGTTCTTATTCTTTGTTCTAAAGGGCACAGGGCCAAGAGACATCGCGTCTGATAAAAAACACATAAAATATTAGAAAGAAATAATTAAAAAAAAATATTTTAAGACTTAGAGTAAAATATGATATTTTTTAAGAAACTAGAACTACCGGTTCTCAAATTATTCCTCCAAAAATGTTTAAATTAAATTAGCAAAAGGAAAAAAATATTTTTTCTGTCTTAGAGGTCACTGGTTTAAAACGCATATAATTCTGAGATTTATTATTTTTTTCCTAAAATCTTTTCATTATTGAGTTATGATGATAATTAATTTTTATTTGCAGTTGTTGTGTGTGCAGCCACTGTGCTTGTACTGATATACTTCGGAATGAGCGTGCTGCCTGAGATAGAAAATCAAAAAAATCCCCATTTCTACAAGGCTGCTGTTGTGGAAGTGGTACCTTTTACAGACCCATCGATGTCCATCTTCGATGTCATTCTAGAAAACTTGAACACTTATCAGCTGGCAGCAGATCAAGCAAGTTTTCACGTAAGTCAATAAATTTTTGAGTTAAGGATAAGCCATTAAATCGTTGCGTTAAGGATAAGACATTAAATAGTTGTGTCAAGGATAAGCCATTAAATCGTTGAGTTAAGGATAAGGCATTAAATCGTTGAGTTAAGGATAAGCCATTAAATCGCTGTTTTAAGGATAAGCCATTAAATCGCTGTTTTAAGGATAAGCCAATAAATCGTTGAGTTAGGGATAAGACATTAAATCGTTGAGTTAAGGATAAGCCATTAACTCGTTGTGTTAAGGATAAGCCATTAAATCATTAAGTTAAGGATAAGCCATTAAATCGTTGAGGTAAGGATAAGCCATTAACTCGTTGAGTTAAGGATAAGCCATTAAATCATTAAGTTAAGGATAAGCCATTAAATCGTTGAGTTAAGGATAAGCCATTAAATTGTTGAGTAAAGGATAAGCCATTAAATCATTGCGTTAAGGAGGTTGTCCGTGTACGGGCAAATACGCAAAAATCGGTTCTGACCGCGGAGGCATCAAAATAATACTACTACTACTAATAATAACTACCGTTTTTGACTATCAACGCGTTCACCTTTCAAAATTATCTTGTTAAACCTATAAACTTTAATGCTAACCAACAGAATGACTGCCATTTAAATATTTTAATTCTTCAATCTCTCTTTCAATCTTAGCACCTTAATTGGTTTTAAACAATGCATTAACCAAATTTTTCGAATTTTATTAACAAAATTATTCTAAATAAATACTTAGCTAACTATGCAACACTACTTAAATTATTACTTAAGAAAACGCCCCCAAAAAATGAATCTAAAAAATTACTTAACGCATAACTAATTTTTTAACACCACATAAATTATTACTTAAGACAACCCGACAAAAAGAAAAATAAATCTAGAGTTACCAAGAGATTGAGAAATACTCGAGGTTATTAGATAAATAGTAGATGTATATAGATTATAATAGCAACAATAAAACCTTGAATTTTTATTATTTTATAATTACGTAAGAAATGATTTTTTTTTTACATAAAACTGAACCAGCTTACGTATTGAAAGTGTAAAATATTTAACATAAAAATATTATTTACATGTAGCGGTG